CAGTCAGCTGAAGTGGCCTGCAGTACTGCACCCTAACCACTGCGCCACCTCGGCTCCTTAATGGCGTGGACCGGCTGTGCATACATTTAAATATTTTTGCGGAGAGCTTATTTTTCGGGGAGGGCTTATTTTAGCACATGCGCTCAAAAGCCCGATTGGGCCTATTATCCAGGGAGGTCTTATTTTCAGGGAAACAGGATAGGTAACATCCTCAGTGCTAAAGTGAATGATATTTGCCTTCTGTTTGCATTGCAATGCATTGCATTATTATATTATATATTATTCATTTTATTTTATGTTTATATTGTTTTATAACAGAAATACTTTATATTTCTGCTTATATATACCTGTATATTCCAGTATTTTTTTTGGGGGGGGCAAGAAAGTTTGCAGTGTTTTTCACTTTTGGAGAGGAGGAGTCGTAAGTAAATAGATTCCTTGGGTTGAGCAAGTACTGCAAGGACAAAGGTGAAATGGACTGCTAAATTGGCCACGCCCACCCAGTCACATGACCACCTAGCCACGCCCACCCAGCCAGTCTGTTGTCTCCCCCCCCCCCAATAGTGTGAGGGACAGTGAATCGGCCCCATGTTTAAAAAGTTTGAGGACCCCTGGTTTACCGCTTTCGTCAGGTATTAAACCTGGTGTTTATCTCTGCTCATTTCGATGTTGATTGCTAGTGTGTTTCAATCTTTATTGTTTCCTTTTTGATTGTCTCTTTTGAATGGTATGTAGAAGTTGTTTATCTCTTTGTGTCTGTCGATGGCTGATTTGGCCAAATGCCAGACTTCCAGGAATTCTCTAATGTTTTTGTGCTATTCAATGTTTTCTCTCCCGTGGAAGGTGAAAAGATACTCTCAAAACTGTTCCCCTACAGTACAATTAACTGGGTTAGTTAAAAATTAGGTGGAGCCATCAAATACTACTCCATCTCTCATACCAACTGAATGTGTTTCATTTAAATCCAGAAAATGAGGCTATTTACTAGCAATTTTTAATCTAGATGCTGCCCCATTATTCAGTCTTTGCCAAGGGAAAGCCCACCTGCTCAATTTAGAATGTCATTTTCTTTCTGCTTCTTTATAGTCCACGTTTTCCCAGTTGTAGGAATTAGGCATGTATAGTGTAATGAAAAGAAGAACTAGGGTGACACGATAGCTGAGTTCCAATATCTGAAGGACTTCCACAAAGAAGAGGGGCTCAACCCATTCTCCAAAGCACCTGAAGAAGGCAGGAGAAGCAAAGGATTTAAACTAATCAAGGAGAGAAGCAATGTAGAACTAAAGAGAAATTTCCTGATAGTGAGAACAATTGACCAGCGGAACGACTTGCCTCCAGAAGTTGTGGGTACTCCATCACAAGAGGTTTTTAAAAAGAAATTGGACAGTCATTTGTTCAGAAGGGTATAATGTCTCCTGCTTTTGCAGGGGGCTGGACTAGAAGACCTCCAAGGTCCCTTCCAACTCGGTTACTCTGTTTTAGATGGTCTCTTGCCAAATCTTGCTTCTTTCAACTCAAATATGTTGAGAAAAACCCAGGCTGCTGATTGCTTTTCTGGTCAAAAGATGGAGTTGTTGTTCATAACTCTGTATCTTCGTGCAAATATATATATATTTTCAAAATACAAAAACATGCTTCTCCTTAATGGATACAATTTTAGAGAGGATAATGGAAGGAAGAACAAAAATCAACCTCATCATCTAGACTCTCCTTCTTTACAGAGGATGCCCATAGAGGCATGGCAATGAAGTTGCAAATTCTATCTTTTGACATATACACTGCTTTGCTTAACATTCAATCATTTTATTAACACAACCGTGGCATGTTTGACGTACACGTAAAACATTGCCAGGAAACAACAACAAAAAATGTTTCAGCACGGCTTGAGTGTTCATTGAACTCCACAGGGCGCTCTGCCTGGGTGTTTTTGCTAACTTTTTTTGTTCATTAATATGAGGAAGGGAGGAACAAATTCTGACTTCCAGGGCCCATTTTATTTTCTTTAAAAAAATTCTAAGAGCTGAAATTCCGCCAGTATTTGGGTGGGTGCAGCTGTTGAGGGCAAAAGAACATCTGAAGGAATGGAAGGAGACAGAAAATTGGCAAATGAACGATAAGCAAAGGAAGCCAAAGTTGAACAGCAAAACACGTACTGTTATCAGGTTTCACTAAGAGGTAAATAACAAAAGCGAGCTGTGTTCCCAGGAAGAGAAAGGAAAACAATGCCTGACTGCAAAACTGGGCAGGGTAGCAGAAAATGTGCGGAACAGCAAAATATTGAGATTCCAAACGCCCTTTATTTAAATGCCTCTAAATTATGTATGATATGAGAAATGCACATTAAAAGGTGATTTGCGTAGCCTCTTTTGTTTGTTTTCAATTGTGAACTGTTCGGAGCACGGGATGAAAACAAAAGTAACGGGTGGGAAGATACCGTTTCATCCATACGGAAGCCTTACACGGGTGCAGAGAAAGAAACAAGGGCTGTTGATTTTGCAAAAATCACACTGCTGTTTTTTTTTTTTTTTTTGCTACCAACAGCCTCCTCTTAACTCTTAAAGGTAAAGGGTGGTTTTTCTTTCAGGTTTTTGTTCTCCATTCTTAAAATCAAGGTAAACTAGACAAACGGAGAAACGTGGTTTTAGACATGCAAAGTGTTCTAAGACCATGTGTGTTTTCACCCGTATATTTCTAGACATTTCTCTGAATTCTGTTTTNGCCTGGCAGCTCTCCAAGCCTGATAAGGTCTGTGACCGTAAATCCTCCTTTGAAAGACTTTGCTGGATGTGAATGAGCAGAATTCACGGTAAATTAATAAAAGGGTTTTTTGCGACAAAGAGTTTGCTTCATGCCCTTGGGAAAACATGCAAATGCGAGTAGATGAAGAGGTACCACTTTGGTGGGAAGGAAACAGCGCTCCATTTGCTTCAGTCATGCTAGCCACATGACCACAGAAAATGTCTTCGGACAACGCTGGCTCCCTCGGCTAAGAAATGGAGATGAGCACTGCGCCCCTAGGACTGGACACGACCGGACGGGATAAACTTTTACCTTGACCTTCAGCAGCAGGAATTCATGGATGTTTATCAGAACCCTTGGAGACTTTCTCCTGCTCTTCCAGTGACCATAGAGAAGATGGTAGGGTGGAGGAATTTTCATTGCTTCCTTCTAGCAAAGGAGCAGAGGGGAGAGATGGCTGCGGGAGATTATCTGCTCTTTGATCTCCACATTAGGCCTCCTCAAAATGCCCCCCAGCTGCAACGGGAGGAAATACATAAATATTTGCGACCCATTGCCTGGAAGCTATGCTCTTTTAATGATATAATTAACATTCATGTTACAGAACTTTCTAAAAACAAAAACACCCAGAGCATGCACGTATTATTATGAACAGTGCAATAGGAGGAAGGAGATAGTTTAATTTTTTTTCTCCCCGGCTACATTCTTCGGGCAACCTGCCATTCTCCAAATAGCAATTAAAATGAGGAGGAAGGGGGAAAACCACATACACCAAACCCTTCCCTTCCATAGATGCCAATTGGACTTTTCTTCCCTTAACATGAATTCCTGGATATAATGGGGCACAGCTGTTGATTTCCCACCCACCCCCATATCTGGAGAGAGAAGGTTTAATTAAACCTTCCCTCACATGGTGATCTGATAACAGTTCACACACTTGCCTGCACACCTGGTATTTAAATTTTTAAAATCCATGCCACAATGGCTAATTATATTAGTGAGTGTGTAGGTGGTTGGGAAAACAAACAAATAATTGGTTTTTTTTTAAGGACGTTGAAGCACTGATTCAGACAATGGCTACCACCACCGGATCAAGTAGACTCAATTGGGCGTCATCCTCCACTCGAATGCAGTGGTAGATGACCCAAGGATGGCGGTCAAACAGGAAGCCACTTTCTTGGGTAACATTAAAGGAAAGTCTGTAAGGATTCTCCTCCACTTTTCCTTTGAAGATAGCAATAGCAATAGCAGTTAGACTTATATACCGCTTCATAGGGCTTTCAGCCCTCTCTAA